CAGCCGCATGAAGCACGGCCAGCTCCACAGGCTCACTCCCCACGGGCCGGATGAGTTCAGCTAGCCTGCCCTCTCCCCTTGGAGACTCCTCTGGGAATGCCGGTAACAGAAAGGGATGAAGAGTGCCTATGCAAGAGAAAAAGGACACTTGCAGCATCCATGGGAAATTGAAAAAAAAAAAAAAAAAAAAAATTTCACCCACACACATGCTCTGGAATAAAAGAGACTTCTGCTACCCCAAATAGTAAGAAATATGAACTAAAAATTCAGATTAAAGAAGGAAAACACGGGAGGAGTTAGTGTGCTCTCATTTTGAAGGTCCCTCAGCTGACTGGGGAGGAAGAGGGCTGAGCGAGTAATGTTTCAAACAACAAACCTTGATTTTACTATCAACTTTCACTGTCTCTTTTAGTAACTGCTTTATCAGATGTGCAGTCTAATTGGTGGTAGCGGTTCCAAAACGCTCTGTGCTAGAGCACACCTTTTAAAAACAAAAGAGTGAAGTAGCAGCCCTGGACTTGACTTCCACACAAACAGAGCTCAGCTGCGCAGGGCATCAGGGTGCGCCCCAGGTTCCCAGTTTGCATTTACTTTTTGTTTTTCTTGCTCGTTTTAAACTGACAAATCCAACCAATCTCGCTGCTCGCGACTGTTTGCGAGTTCCCGTGTGCAGCCAATGCAGATTAGCCACTTTGCTGGTGAAATACCACGCAACACATGCTGCCTTGTGCCCGTCACCTAGCAGCCTCGTGGGAATGCAATGTGAGCCGGGAAGAGCAATGAAGCGGCAAAAGAATAAGAGGTTTAAAAAGACAGGAAGAGAAACAGCTCAGGAAGGAAAACAACAATTCCTTCGTTTCCAACTTCTGTTAACACTCCTGCCTTTACATGTACAGTCAGGCGATGAGAGAGGTAGAAGGAGAGCCTGTGATTTGTCAGGATTACCTTTTTACCAATTTACCTGAGGAAGAACTGGAGTCAAAATTATTCGGATAGATGAAATATTAATAGTTTTTCAGCAACTTAAAATAAGCAGTCTGGTTATCTATATAAAACTAGCCATCCTTCCAGCCTGCTGTGCATCCCATTTCTTTCTAGTCTGCATTAATTTTAAGCGATGTGGTTAATTCAAGCACCAAAGACAAAACTGTTTTGAGCCCTCAGTTTTACAAAGGCTGGCAAGCAGTAACGCAACAGTCCAATGGAGCAAGCTAATTCGAGAACACAAATATTCATTTATCACACATGTTTTGCCTTTGAACACATATCCAAGATGATGACTCAGCCAGGTACCGATACTCAAACTGCTCCGACACCGTGTAAGCCTGACTCGCAGCCCTGGGTGAAACGCAGCCGTGACAAGTTTCTCCTGCCCGAGTATACAGCCCAAACCCCCTTCAGCCCTGGCATCCCCTGCCAGTTTGTCAGCTCCCTGCAAGCAGAGGATCCCGGTCAGACAGAAGTGCACAGTTAAGATCTATGATCCAGGCAGATTTTACAAGTCGAGTCAAATTGTGCCCTGCAAAGGGGAAATAAACCCTACGTAATCTATACCTCCCTCCACCTTCCTTTCAAAAATGATGTATTGTCATTTCTGCTATAGGCAGGCAGGGAGGCTTTCATAGCTTGCTGCCCAATTACGGGAGGAATTCTGCCCTCCCCCTCCAGCCTGTACAATAGGCTCTTTATGTAAATCACTCAGAAAAAATTAATACACCATTAATCCATCAGTAAAGCTTCCTTTCCCATCTCTGCCTTGTGGTGCAAGCGCGGGCTAAGGAAGGCAGCATGAGAAGCTTCATGGAAGTTATGTAGCGACCAGCAGCAGGACTGCGTGGTTCTTCTGATCCACAGCACGTAAGATCCCACAGGCAGAAGTGTATCTGACTTCGCCGTGCAGTACCAGTGTGCCAGCGAAAGTAAAAATTAGCCACCGGTTGCAAATGCAAACTCCCTTTGCAGGAGGTTTTCAGCAGCGAAAGGGGTTAAAACACAATCTTCAAAGCACAGATTAAAATCATCTCCTAGCGTGCTAGGAGTAAAGCACAAGCGTATACATCCTGTGTTAGTGTTCCTGCATCCAAACCATTTACTGAAGCCACAATTTATTCTGAGTCTGAACCGATATTCTGGCCAAAGAGCTATTAACTGCTCCCAGAAATGAAAAGAAATAAAAATCCTTTTGAAGTTCAAATGACCTTGAAGAGCCTGCCTGCTCTTACAAAAGTGACCTTACAGCAGAATTGAGTCAACCTCACACTTCCTAATAACAAACTAGCGCTCTGGCAGCACTAGAGAAATTACAACCAAATCACTTCATCAAGTATTTTTAACCACACACACTACTGCCTACCAGCCAGTAAATGCACTGCCAGTGGTAGCTCACCATCTCAGGGAAGCAAAGTTCTGAAATTTATTTTGGTTTATGGTAAATACGAGGTATGCTCGAATAAGTACCTGACAAACTCCACTCAAAAAAAACCCCAAAATCAACACACAATAATAAAAGCTCTTTTTTAAAGTTTCATACAAAATAAACTCCAGGTTTGAGAATTTCAAGGGTTCCTTCAGAACTGCATCCCAGATCTCGCATCCTACATCTCCCTCCTTGTCTCTGTGGAGCAATTCCCACCATCATCCCGTCATCTTTTTATATTGCAACTGGGACCTCTTCCCAATCCGGCCTCATAAAACAAAAATACACTTAAAATTTTCCAGCAGGACCATGTGGCAATCAGCCAAAAGCCACCCAGTCTGTTACAAGTGGAGTCTTACATGGTTTTTGGTAGCACATAGAGAGGAAAGATTCCTGCAGCACCTGCCCAAAGGATCTGCCACAAGTGACCACTGACTTCAAGCAGCACAAACAAAACTTACCTACACACCACACAGTCAGTACCTTTACATTGCCCAGATGAGAAAGTAAGGGTTTTCCCTGTGGATTACCAGAAGCTTTCACAGTTTTAATCCAAAAAAAGCTGCATCTAGGCTTCTGTGCCACCCTCCTCCTCCTACCCCACCTGCGGCTCCCAGCGGGACCCGAGCACTGGACGACGGCTCGAACCGTGGGCTGACACGGCAGTGGCAATCACAAGGGTTAAAGAGAAAGCGAGTCACCTTTTCTCTGATGGCTCCTGTAGGTCCAGTTCTCGTCATCCTCATCTACCTGCTGCACGCACATGGAGGAGAGTTCACCATCGCTGCGGAACAATCTCTTTGTCTGCCTTGACAAGGAGGAGAAATTTATCCAGCTTACAGCACGCGAGAGGGAGCCCGGGTTTTGTTTGAGTTTGAAAGATCTCGAAACACACTCCTTTTTCATTTTCTTTTAAGCCAGCTACTGGCCTCAGTTCCAAGCAGACCTTTCCGAAACTGTTCCTGTCCCCTCTCCCAGTGGTTTTTGTGCAAGGCTAAACAATTTCAATACGACTTCCGTGGAGGTTTCTTCTCGCTGCATTTAAGCCAGCACCAGTATGGAGGTAGGTCACTGTGCCAGCGCAGCTCCCCTGAAGCTGTTTTGATACAGCGCTTAGGGAGCTGCCAAAGAAAACAAAGGGGAGAAAAGCAGCAGAAAGTGGCACCTTGCAGCAGCTCAGAGAAGCGTGTAACAGCTGAGCAGAATATAGCACTAAGGCACGTGTTTTCCCCATTCTCCACTCAACAGCAAAAACTGCAGCTCCCCTCTTCTCCCTGGCATCACTCCCCAGGAGGGTGCATGCGATTCGGTCCTCTCTTCTGGCTCACCAAAAACACCCCACGAGGAGGGGAGAGCAGGCAGGGATCATGCCCCAGTGTGGCACAGCTCGTGGGGGACGACGGACGGACCACGCTTCTGCCTCCTCATTCCAGCTGCCCCGCTCTCCCTCAGCGAAAAGCCTGGTGAAGGAGCTCCAGGAAGGCTCTCCTAACAATAAAGCAGACTGCGTGGCTATCGCTTAGGATTAGAGTGAAACACGATAGGCTCGCTCTCCTCCGAAAAGCACGACGGCAGAAGCAAAACTCCTCCTTTCCTCAGCCAGCTCGGTGGCAGCGCAAACTTCTGAACCCTGCGTGCAGAAATAGAAAAGCACTTGTGCACCTCTATAGACTTGGAGAGAGTAAAAATAAAATTCTGGGGCTTGTCAATGCCACAAGCATCCTGAACAGAGTGTGCTGAAAACACTAGTGCCCCTGAACCTGGTGGTACATTTAAAAAAAAATAAAATACAAGTGCATAGACACAAACAAAATCTGTGCACAAGCAGACGTTTTCAGTGACCAGACTCCTACTGGTTTGACTGCAGCTCACAAAACAGGTTTCACTCCCAGCTGTGCCACGTTCTGCCACCTTCTCTTTAAACTAGCAGCTGGAAAAAGCAAGGTGTGAAGGTTTTAAAAAGTCAGCCACTACTGAAGGCTGCCACAATGCCAACTGCTTGCCCTGCATGCCAACACCAGTGCTTCTTCCAGGAGGGAGTAAGCCTGGAAGGAGGAGAGGCAAAGGCAGCATTTTAAAGCAGACAGAAGCTGGCAATACCAAGGCATCCCACCCCCGTGTTTTTTGAAGGAATTTGTCACCAAGACGCAAGGTGAAAAAAACCCAAAGTTTGTATCCTGCGGCAAAAGAATAGGCTTGAATGTATGAGATTTCCAATAAAATCAGCTCAGCAAATACTCAAGGAGATGCTGGTAGCAAGGAACCCAGGGAAAAAAACCAAACAAAAACAAAACCAAAAACAAAACCCCAAAAAGTGCCACCTATCTGAAGAGTAAGTATTAATGCCTTTAACATCCTAATGGCTGCAAATGATGTTAGCAAAAAGACAAGCAGCTTAAGAAAACACGGGTACAGTGTTTCAGCTCCCAAGCTGTCAGTCAGATTTACACTATTGCAGAACACGCCCCGACCCCCTGGCAGATGCTCTCGCAGCCCCCTGGATTCTGCTGTACAGCCTCTTCAAAACCATTAAAAACAAAGGCTCCGGCTTTTTTCTGAAACTTATGGTTCTCTGACTCAACAAGAGGATAAGGTTTAGCCCACTGACTGGGAGGCAAAAAGCTAAGTACTGTATCAGATTACCCTATGAATCAACCAGGCACACCAAAGTGACCTTTGGCTCCTACTAACACAGCACAATGGGTTGGCCAACTGTCTTCTGTAAATAATTTAATAGGCTGCATTCAAATTGAGCTCGCCCAGCGAGGTAATGCATATGTACATACGCAGGTCTTCCACCGCTTCCCAAAGCCACTGGTGGCGTAGTGGGATTGGGGAAGGCTCAGGGGTGCACAAATGGGAGCACACACTGCTAAGATCTCCTTTTCTCACTATGTCATGAAGTCCTGTTTTGAAGGGTGTTGTCTTAAAAAGACACCACTTCCCATCCCTGATGCAACAAGAGACTTGGGATGGGTTAGGTTTTGCCTTCATTCTTTAGACCATTTGCTTAAAAGAGGATTTTGAGAATGTGGGGTGGCATACCTCTAGAGACCCAGACACAGGAGTATCCATTTTGGGGCAGTACATGTTCAAATAGGCAGGATTTAACATAAAAATCAAAGACGATGCTTGAAGTCAACTTAGTGTTTCTTTTGAGAAAAAGCAAACATTTGTGATTGCCAGTACCGCAAAATACAGAGAACGGTAAACTACCACAGCAATTACTGGCTAAATTATACAGAGCTAGATGTATCAAAGCCTTGGCAGGAACTGCAGAATCACAATCATCTTCTCCACACTGTACTTCTTAGAAACAGAAGATTAGAGAAAGCAACAAGAAGGAAACCCCTTCAGGTTAACCCAAAATGCCAGGGTAAAGTCCCACAGACCTGCCCAGAGTCTTGGCAGCAATTTGATTTTAGGAACTCTCCTGACCTGTCTGGAGCTCTGCCTTTGTATTATGGTGCCGAGTCACAACTTGATGATGCAAGGGTGAAAACATTGCCGTGGGTGATTGACCATAACATTTCCACTGTTACTGTAAATACGAAGTGGTGCAATGCTTTGTGTTCAGAGTCTGGTATTATATATTTCCTTGCAGGAAAAGATCCACCGCGATACTGTCATTACCACAGAATGCTTTTTATTTGTGGGTGGCAGGAAGCTTAATATCAGCATGCATTGTTGCACATTTGGAACAAATGTAAATTTCCCAAGATCAAGAGAAAACAGTGATTACTGTTTGAAAAACAATACATATTAAGGCATTAACACCAAAGGAACTGCAGGTTAATCCACACTTTAATCAGTAGCCAAACGCAAGGCCAAGAAGTTGGAAATTTTAGCATCTGACACACTTTAGAGGATTAAATTTAATTTTGTAAGCCATTTAAGAGAAACAAGGTACGCTTCTAACAAGCTTAGATCATTTTCCAACCTGTTTTCTCCCTTGTGAAGTCATCACACAGGTAAATAGGCTTCATATTTTCTAGGTTATGCATGTAAAGATTAAGGCATTATTTTTGTTTCATCTCAGTAAAAAAACCATGAAGGAATCAAAGAAGATGAAACCCAGGGTTTGAAGTAGAACGCTAAATTGGTTCATCCCCCCTCCTGCCCTTATTTTTATTTTTAGAGGTGAACAAGAGCAAATACGCGTATTTTTACCATCTACCACAACCTAATCGTCAAAGAATTCTCTAAAAGTTGTTAAGCAAACACAGGTACATGGCTCACAGCCACTGCACTCCCCTAAGGCCAGCAAACAAAAAAACTGTTGTGCGGAAAAGGTTTCAGTTCAGTGTAAAAGACCAACAAAACAGAAAGAAAAAAACTAACCCCTGCACCCCGCAGATGTGCTCTGGTTTTGGTTGGGCTGTGGGTTTTGGCACAATTCACACAATTAGTTTAATGCCTATATTTCCTAGTCTATCATTTCTCATGACTCAACCAGACAGTAACAAGGGTGATTCACAGGTACAGCTTCCCGGGGAAGTCATGGCTCCGACAGCCAGGAGGACACCTCTCTCAGGCTTCCTGGCTGATTTCCTTCAGGTGGTAACAGCTCATCACCAGCCATGGTGCTTAATCCGATGGTCATAAGGCCACTTGGATGGAGTACAGTCACAAGCCTATAGAAAATCACTTGCCCGCGGACTCAACCCTTTGCTACACAGCTCTTGCTGCAGCCCCGAGGGACCCTCCATCCCCAAAACCGCCCCAACACCGCCGGATCTGCTATGTACGGTCACCTCCCCAGCGCCGCCCATCATCTCTGAGCAGAGGTGTGTGGGAATTTCAGTAGCTATCAAAAGCTTGCGAACCCGACCCCCATCAGACAGAAGTCTTGATCTACAGCATGCCTGTTCTTACACAGGTACCGTGTAAAATGCTCACATAGCAAACCCACAAAATAATCCATATTCCTGCATGATTATTTAAAGCAAAGCAGCCACAGAAAGTGTTTTGTTACGGTCACCTCCCCAGCGCCGCCCATCATCTCTGAGCAGAGGTGTGTGGGAATTTCAGTAGCTATCAAAAGCTTGCGAACCCGACCCCCATCAGACAGAAGTCTTGATCTACAGCATGCCTGTTCTTACACAGGTACCGTGTAAAATGCTCACATAGCAAACCCACAAAATAATCCATATTCCTGCATGATTATTTAAAGCAAAGCAGCCACAGAGAGTGTTTTGGTATTACAACAGAGCCTGAAGATTCCAGTTAAGATTGTGTCCCTTTCTGTGCAGAGCACGCAATGAGAAACCCTTTTCCCTCCAATGTGAATGGACCCGGGGGGGGGGGGGGGGGGAGAAAAAAAAAGAGAAAAAGAAAAGGATCAAAATCAAAGTTACTTGCCCAAGATCACAGAAGGGATAAGCATCAAAGCTAAGAAAAGAAAGTAGGTCTCCTGGCTACCAGCCTCGAGACCTACTTAAGTAGGTCCTATCTTGCACAAAAAGCAATGCCTATTAATTGCTTCTGCCACAACCATTACAGAGCCTTTGAATGCCCTAATTATAAAGGTAAATTTCCTTTCTGTTTTGTTACCCATTTTATCCTTTTGGGTTCTTTTTTTCAACTTAAAAATATACCATACCACAAAGGAGCACCTAAAAGAGATGGGAGTTCTGCACTGTAGGACTGCTTCAAGCATCCCATCCACATTCCCAACTTTATTAGGTCCGTGATGGTGAAAAAAAAAAAAAAGAGGTAAAAAGAAAAAAAATCAGACTGCATACAACCACACAGGATATAAGAGTTTTTGGACAGGTCTGTACGACGCACCTGCCACCAGCCTCCCTCCCTTCAACCTCTGTACCCTGGAAGGACTCACTGCATCAGGGGCAGGCAATATTTTCTCTGATTTAACAGGTGTGCTTACCCTGGTAAGGAAATTTCCT